ATCAGACATAAGTAATTATTTAACAGAAGTGCTTTACATTTACTGGTGTCTGCTGACTTAATCAAATAGTCGGCTGATGCTTCTAATCGTGTGTTAGGTAACACTGCCCTCAGAGGGCCAAGGTGAGTAAATTCAATCTCAAAACCCCTGGCATTACTTCTGATATTTTACTTGACCTGACATGGATTACAGTTGTTTCTTTTAAAGAAAAATGGCTTGTTTTTAAGTTGTTTTATTTACTTTTATGTAATTTTTTTTAAAATAAATTCATTCCTCCCCACCTCTCCTTGGTATTAAATATTAGTGTAGGGGAACTGGAGTTTTGATTTTACAAAATGTGCCATAAGAAAAAAGAAAGAAAAGGAAAAAGGGCAAACAATATTATTTCTACTAATCCATTTCAGTAAATTGATGACACAGACACGAGGCATTTTTTTTCCCCCTTTTTCTTTCTTTCTTTTTTTTTTTTTTTGTTTTTTTTTTTTCCCCTTCTCCTTCTTCCCTTAAATCTCACTTATGTCTGTGTGGCAGCTGTTGCTTCTTTTAAGGAAGCAAGTTTTTGAACTCAGGTTTCTGTTGCTTATCAGCACTGTATATTAAAGACATTTCCTTCACACCTCTAAAGCCATTTACATATTGAAAAATGTAGATGTTTTGCAGAAGTGATTTTGAAAAAAACCCAACTTTTTTCAAATAATAAGATTAATTTTAAATTACTGAATAATTTTTCAAGTATTGCTAAATCTCCATATGCTTAGAATGAGAAGTGGTGAGACTAACAATAGCAACCATTGAATCTGAGGTGAAGTGTATGTTTGAAGAGAGAGTTTGAGTTCTGAGATGAAGTACAAAAAATTATGAACTCTGAGTGGTACATTTGACTAACACAGATTTGTTGACTGCTCATATGGTTTCTTAGAAAGCTCTTCTTTGTGAAGCTCCTCAGCAGTATCAAAACTACAAGCATTGCATCACTAGAGCAAACATATTTTGTGAAATGTCCTGAAGGCAGGATTCTTGTTACTAGCTGTCACATGTAGAAAAGAAAAATCATTAAACTTGCAGAACAGAGGCTAATGCAGAGCCAGCCGCAAAGGTCATGTGCCAAATAAACTTCCATTAAGCATTATTTCTTAGTGTTGTTAGCCAGTGTATTATTAAATGCAACATTAATTAAAGAGTTGCATGTTATAAGTGTGCATTTTGCATAAAGATCAGATTGCATTTTCATGTATTTCATGCCTTATTTCATCTTTTGTGTATATTCTCTTGGTAATCATTAAAAAAGCAGCCACCAATAATCTAAAACTGATTCCAAATCTGTTTTCTGTGTGTATGTATTTATTGTTTATATATATCTGTGAGATATATATTCTAGCGTCCCTTTTCTCAAGTAGCTTGAAAAAACTTTTACTAGAATTAAAATCATGTAGGAATTGCTTGGCTTTCTTTGCTGCAGTGGTTGAAGTTAGCGACCTCTTCTTACTGTCTAGTAAACAGATCCTAAAAGAACATGTTTTTCAACTTAGAAGGATGTAAATTTAAGCAAAATACTAATTTAGCTTACATTAACTCAGCAGGAAGCAGGGTACAAACTGATTGATTGTCTATGGCAGATCCACTGCTTTTTTAAGTACTGGAGCTTGTTCATTAAATTGTCAGGGTATCATGTGGTTTGGTTAGCCTGCCTAGACTTCTCCTTTTGCATGGAATTTCTTTTCACTTGAATGAATGAATTTTAGATGTAAATTTCCTGTTGTTTGCTTGTATTGAGGTACTTGATAAACATCCACTTCAAGTATCTTTAAAGTGATTTAGTATTGTGCAACTGTAAAATACACTTTTTTAAATGAGGGGTTGGTAAGTTAGAAGACGTGGAAGTTTTTTCTTTTTCAAATACTCTACTGTGTTTTAATATTTTTTGTATGGAGGATTTCTCTTTCAAAGCAGTTCCATAACAAGATGTCTATTAAGAAGTATGGGCTAAAATGTTTTTCTATCTTTGAGGAGATCTGTAGAAGGAATGCAGTTGTACGAGAGCACCTAGAGTGCATCTTGAGAGTCATTAAACCACTTGAGCAGCTAAGTGAACTGTTCACTGATACCACTGTTTACTTTAGTCTTCAAAAGTGTTCTCCCATTTGTTAATTAAATTACAAAATAAATAAAGGACAAATGATAAATATTCATGCATAGGCCATCAGGAGGTATTGGAATATTGGTCATTTCAAGACAAAACTAGGGGGTTTGGTGTATGGGTGTGTTTGTACAGATGTCTTGAAAAAGTCTGACTGTGATTCATGTTGGGGAATTGCTTAGGAGAAACATTCTTCAAAGAAATACATCTATGAAAGAAATATATGGATCCTTATGAAGACACAGTATTTTGCAATTGCTTTTAAATTACATCTCCTCTGCCTGGCTGTAGTTTGCAGGGTGAAGACAGAGGTACAGCTGTGCTCATGGGAAAACTGGTACTTGTACGTCATTCAATATTTATATCTTCTTGTGATTAGCTTTTTTCTGAAGTCGCTAGCTCCCTTCAGAGGAGCTTGAAAGTGCTAGTCATACTTTTCTAATGGTTTTTCTCCAGGCAGATCATCAGCTACATAACTTAGTAAATGATAAAAAAATCTGTTATCTTTCCTGATTAAGACTCTTTGAGTACTTAGTAGAAGCCAAATACAATCTAAAATGTTGTCCTAAGAGGAGAAGAGGGATTAAGTGATCAGGGAAATGTGCACTGGGGTGGGTTTTTCTACAGGTTTAGTTCTGAAGAGTGTGTATGTGAGTAAACGAAGTGTTACGTTCTTTCTTGAGCTGACTAATAAGTGTATTTACCCTATCAGCTCTGATTTTTAGAACAGAGCCTGTCCAGTTTATCCCTTACAGAAGAGAGGACTGTTTTTGACACTTGAACTGTTGGATGGCTGACCTGCTTTAGTCATGTTGGAATTCTCTCCATGCTGTCCTTGAACTCTTCAGTAGTCTTAGGTGCCTGCCTACCATTTAATTCACCTTCTAGAGAAGCCTAAGATCTTGATAGATTTTAAACCTAGGAACAGGCACTTTCTCTTGTAACTTACTGTTCCAACTAAGATAGATATAATTTATTAGAATTGTACAGAAGAGTCTCTTTATGGTCTGTTCAGGAAAGCAACAAGGATATTAATATTTTAAAACTTACGTTGGGTGATCTGATACGTAAGGTTTTGTTTTGGCTTCAACTTTAGAGTTCATGCAGATTTCAGCAAATTTGTCAGGGCATTTTTTAAACATTCTTTACTATGAGTCATACCTTTGCTTAAGCCTATGATTATTTCATTTTCAAGTATTCAGCAAACTTAATTCAAAAAATGTCTTTTCTTTTTCATTCTTATATGTTTTTCCCTGTTGGTATTAAAGTTACACATTTGTTTTCCCATACTGCACTTGTATTTGTTCTCCGACTTACAAACTGTCATGCCTTTTTTTTCTGCTTGTTTGTTCATTTTGTTTTTTTTTTTGGTGGTGGTTTTTTGTTTGTTTGTTTGTTTTGTTTGCTTTTATGTTAGCTGGGATTTCCCACTGTGAAATCAGTTCAGGTTGACAGTGTCAGTAGGGATGATTCCAGCTGAACTAGCCCCAGAGAACTGAGATAGACAGCTGTGAGTCAATACAAATGTAACTGGTGTTGTATTTGCTGTATTAATTTTGTGGTCAAATTAAGTAACATTTTCAATTTTCTTTCTAATTCTATGAATCGATTTAAAAAAAATAAAAATCAAGTAGTTACCCTGCTATCTAGAAGCAGGACTAAATACGAAGAGTTTTGCTTCTGAGGGGCAAGAGATACATTTCAGCATGAATAACCTGGTGTTAATTTTTCTTTTTCCTCTTCTGCTACTCCCTGCCCCACTTCTCTGCATAAATACATGTTGGAAATAAGAAATGTAAATGGCTTTAGTTAGATTTTTAACCCATGGGCAGCGTTAAAATCTTTACAGATTGTGATCAAGTTCAGCTAGGCCATATTAACATTTCCCATGTTGAACTTCAGTGTCAATTAACTGATTCCTCTCATAGAAAGGTAAATATGGGATTAATGAATTTTTAGATAAGCCTTCAGTGGAGTAATCTTCATGTCAGATGGATGTAAACTTCTTTCTGACCTTTGAATTGTATACAAGCTAAGTAGCTACAGCTAACGGGGTGCTGGAGTGGTCTGTTCTAAGTGTTTTGCAAATGGTGAGAAGTCCTTGGCATGGTTGCAAATTCTGCATTGTTAATACACTTTTTTTCTTAATATGTTCAGTTGTATAATGATGAAACTGTGGCTTATTTAAAGTCTTAGTAAGTACTTGTGCATAGGTTATTTACTCTGCATAGTTGATGGAAATCAAAGAGAGAGAAAGTCGGACAGATATGAACTCACCTGTACTTAACTGAGTAATTGCACTATATAAATGAAATTGTTGCTGAGAATTTGGTGTGGCATTGTAAAGTATAATGCTATTAAAGAGATCTTTCAGATCTATTTAAGTATATTTTGTGTAGGTTTTCCTACTAACCAAAATTTTCTTGTATTTGTTTAGTGTATGATTTGAGGAAATTAATAGGTTTTGCTGTGGCTCAGCAGGATAAATGTTCTACCTTGTCACAGTTTTGATTTCATTTTGCCATTAAAAATCAGGCTGTAGTGCTTATTTTTGCCTGCAGCAAATTTCAAAGTGCTTATATGTGTAAAGATGTAGGATTTTGAAGAGGATAGTGTGATAAAATTTAGAATTACAGAATATTACGGTACAGTACTTCTAGCTTCTTATTCCAGAGGCATTACTGTATAGTCCAGGCTAACCATTGCAGTTCCATTTTGTAGGGAGTTAAAATTTCTGTAAATTGAAAATGTCTGAAAAGGTTTTGGTGTAATTGATGTTAGACACTGATAATATGTTATGTTTTTTAATATCAAAGTGTTTTTTTTTCTACAGTATTAATGAACTTTTTTTTTTCTCCTTTAGGAGAATATATAAAAAACTGGCGGCCAAGATATTTCCTGCTAAAGACAGATGGCTCTTTCATAGGCTATAAGGAGAAGCCCCAGGATGTGGATCTGCCATATCCACTCAACAACTTTTCAGTGGCAAGTACGTATTTCCAGTATTTATTATTCTCTCGGCATATTGACAAAATATCTGCTACATATTGCTTCATGTGTAGTTCAGAATTTATTGGTAACACTGCAAGTTTGATGCCATGTGTCAGACTATTGCACCACTAATCTTATGTCCAGCTCTACAAGGTATCTTTACCAGAGCATTGAAGATTTTGCTCTGGGTTGGATTTTGAATATTTTTGGAAGTCTGAATCTCATTTTTGTCCATGTGTGTGTCCGAAGTGTCTGTAACTAACAATAACACTTGAGAAATTATTACTGTAAGAAGAAAATTCCTGGAAAGCTTACTTTTATCCTGATCATTGACCTCTTTTCTCTTTTTCAGTGGTATCTCTGAATTCACTTGAAAACTCAAATTAATTAGAAAATTATCTAGACTGTCAAATGACACAAAATCATGCTAAATTATTTTTCTCTTGGATAATCAGGTAATCAGCTCTCCAGCCTGGTTAATCAGTAATTTCAAGCAATCACACAATTTGCATATATTAGCAAAGCTACAAAGTGTGTATCTGTTGGATAAAGTGAAGACATTTTGATTTCTTGTTTTCCAGGAATGTTTCTGGAAGATAAATCTGTAGGGCTTTTTTTGATCTGGCAAAGTGAGATTAGTAGATAAGTGTTTCTGAACAGAAATGAAGAGAATGATGGGGGGGGGGGGGTAAAACAGTGCAAAAAATCTTCCTGTATATGAGTTGTGGATATTATAGCTAGAAACTTTCAAAGGAACACTAGAAGATTTACCCAGTTTCTTTCAAGATTGCATTAGTATACTGCAGTATAATAAATGAGGGTGTTTAGTTTTGTAGAGGGGTATACAAAGTAATTTGTGTATTTTATTTGTTAAGAAGATAATCTCATGCTCCAAGCCCGTGTCTTCTCCCACACCTAGAGGAGGAAAACTGCATATTCTGATTGTGACAGAAGTCTTGCAAATGATGTTGAGCATGCAAGTGTTCTAGTAATAATAGATGCTCATTCGCCTTTTTTGCTATTCAGCATAAAAAGCAGTGATATCTTTAGGTTGCTCATACGAGTAGGAATTGACTAGATCATGGGTTGTAACTCCTTAGTTATTGTTCTGATTATCTTAACCTACTCATTTGTTGCAGTTGGTGCTTTCCTAGATACTTTTTCTCCAGTGTGAAGCAGAAAGAACTACTGTAGAGCTACAGCAGGCTTTTTTTTTGTCCTGCTTTACCATGTTCTTCGTTGCATATCATGTATGTCTTTGCTGCAGCAGCTAGGAAGATGATCCAAATGGTAGTTCTGCTAAGCGAAGAAATGCGTAATTAACAATTAGAGTGTGTTGATACTGGTGTGTGTGTTTGTTTGTTTTGTCACTCTTGTTATTTTGATACCCAAAGGTCATTTTATGTAATTCTGGTATTAAAATGCTGCTCCTGAACTTTGCCTAGGTGGAAATTGGAGGATTCATATTGTTTTCCACAATGACACCATCACCACCATTACCCACCCATTCCTCAACCCAACTGAACAAACGAAAATATCCTTTCTGCAACTAGCAAGTGCCATAGGTCTGATTCTTAGGCAATATAAGCTAAAGGAACAGTCATGTAATATTAATTGAAGAAATACACTTTTGGTAAGCAAGATGAGGTTTTCTGGCAGGAAAAAACAGAAATGATTGCTGATCAGTGCAAGAATAGGGAGATTTTTCACTCATAAAAAGTATCGCATGAAGATAAGTGAAGTACCTATGTAGAATGCACAGGATGAAAAACAAAAACAGTATGATATTGCACTCTAAATTGCAAGGGACTGTAAGTATTTTGTCATATATTTTGTCTGTCTGAAGTTGAGGTCATGGGTAGGGCAAACAGAATCGCTGTGTGAATGAATCGGATCTCATGGGCAGTACCTGGTAAATGTCAAGAACTGGTCACATGGCCTTTGATCCAAGAGTTCCTGAGCTGCTGCAGTAGGTTTGTGGCCACAAGCAGTGCAACATATTTTTCCTGTAATAGTGAAGTACATTTTTCATAAATTACTAGCCAGGCAGATGGAGTGTGAGATCACTGTTAATACCATCTTGATTAGGTTGGCAGGGACTTAAAGATATGTCTTTACAGTCCTATCTTCATGTAATCTTTGTAGCTATCTGTAAAGTGAGAGTGTGGTCTCAGTCTACTTTCTGTTCTCCAAATGATAGACATCTTTGGCTCTTGCTTACAGCTTGTTATTTAAGCAGAAAAGGCCAAGGCTGTGGCATTATTTTTGTAGTACTGATGGAGTGAACACTGGAAAGTTTGCACAGCTCTGCTTTGTTTGATACTTGTTCTGTAGTTTAAAACTTTTATATCCAGTTCTGTCAAACTAAAGTCGCACACCTGAGCATTACTCTCTCCCTGGTCTTGTGTTATCCACTTACTCCATCATGAATGACAGGAAGGCCAGAGAGAATGAAGTTATTTTAAATACATCTAAGTGCTTCCTGTGCTATATATATCTTTAAAGATATAAATATGTCTTTTAAAGGTAAAAGAAGGTGATATAATTATAATGGTGGGAAATTCATTGCAGAAGCTTAAACTAATTGATACTGGTTTGCAGAGGTAAATTTAGAAATGTGAGCTTTCTTGAACTGGCTGGTTCAAAATCAGTTCAGCTCTTTTCAGGTAGAGACAAGCAGTTGCAAGTAATCAAGCTATTGTAGCTTAAAGAGATGCTCCTGATTGAGTCATGGTAACTGAGTGGGTGTGCATTCCTAGCCCACTTCAACTGCAAAAGAAAATATGTTAATGTAAATTGCTTTTGCTTAGGCATTTATGCAGCCAGAACCAGTTTAAAAATCTGGATTCTGCTGGTATAACTTATATGTATAGGAACAGGCCTGGGGAAAAAAAAAATCTGGCTTTTAAAACTCCATTATGCTTCTTTGGAACAAAACTAGTACTCTAGGTGACAGGAGGTATACATTCAGTAACACCCCCCCAATCAACATAGTCTCACAACACTGTTTTTGTCTTGTTTGGTGTTGCTTTCTGTCAACCGCTTCAGTCTTTGATTATCATCATTATTAGGGGAAGCAGAGTGGGGAAGAATTCTACTTCAGTTCTATTTAAGGAACATTTGTGGCTTTACTGATAAAAAATACTTCTCACATATGCAGTGAGTATGTAGGTAATCGCATAGCGCATTTGGGATGAGGAAGAAGAATTGGCCCTTTGCCTTCATTTTGATCTTTACGTGGGGAATAATTGGGAAGAGCTGTATCCCTTCACAGTAGCCTTTGAGCTTTGGCCAGAAATGATGTCACCTGGAATTTCTTTCCTGTCTTGAAAGATAGTGCTTTCTAAGCACTCTGTGCTACAGCTACCCTTTTTCTTGTCTTTGAAAAGAGAAAACAAATTTTAGTTACTGTGGAAAGGTTACCTTTTATAACCTTTTTTTTTCTTCTCTGCAGAAACGCTTATCAATGCACCTTGGCTATTCTCAATTGAGGATTCCAGTCTTAATATTTCAGTGGGCAACAGACAAGGTTTTATTATTTTGAGGATTTAAAAGTCTTCAAAACATGAATATTGAAAGGTTTCAGGGGAGTGATGTTAGGGCTATAAAGAATTCTGAAGGCACTTTCTAAAGAAATGAGTGGGAAAATATATATATGTATGTTTTAAGTGAGATTAAATTAGGCATCACAGTACTTCGGCATTAGATAGGGCCTTGTGTGCGACTCCATAATTAACTTTTTAATGAAATTTAAATGTAAGGTCCCAGGTTTTTTTAACTGTCACAACACTGGATGACATGAACCCAGAGATAAGCATGTAACTGTAGATACTTACAATTACAGCATAGATTTCATTCCAAAATAATCATGGTACAATTGAATAATATTCATTAAACACTGAAAATACTTACGGGGAAAAAATGGCAATCTGTGTAACACACTGCGTATGCAAATTCATCTATGGAAATTTGAACTCTAATGTGTATAACCAATATTACTGTCTGTGTTGGATGGGAGAATGTTTTGGTTTTTTGGAAAACTAGACCAGTAGTTCTCTTTAGGAGACTTTCATACTACTTTATGAGTGATTTCTAGGTGGTACAGTTGGTATTTTGCCATTTGACTTCGAAGTTTGGATGCAGTTATTGGCTTGGGTCATGAATGAAAATCAGTTCCTTGGTCTCATCATTCCATTTTAATGGGCAGTGCTTTCTTAGACACCAATATAGCATACTGTAATTTCCAGTTATCTCTAAATAGGGCCTGGTATGAGCAAGGCAGGTCGAAGTTTATAGTCAGGTCTGAGAGATTTTATGCTGATGTGATACACTCAGTTGCATAATAAACTTGGGGTGTTTGCATGAAAGACAGAGAAGGATGTATGATTTTTCTGTGAAAACGAACTAAACCCCATACAAGCCCCAACAATAAAGTGCAGAAATCTATTTTCATTCTCCTGCTTTTCATGTGGGGACAAATGGCAAACTAGTTGTAATGACAAGAAGACTTCATTTAGAGTATTGTAAATAAAAGACTTGCCATCATGATGAAGCATTAAGGATCATCTTTTTCAGCTTCAAGGAATATAATCATTTTTTGGTGTTTGTTATATATATTGTTATCAGTCATATATGTTGCTGTATCATTGTAGCATGTATTTGTCATGAGCCAAGCCCCCCAGAAGTGGGATTTCTACCCATACAGAACAGAAAGTCAGTCCCTGCTCCAAAACACTAAAATTCCAAATATAAAGCAAGGGACAGCAGATGGATGCAAACAGATGGGGGGAGTATGAGAAAACAATGAGACAGTATTAGCCTGTAGTACAGGCAGTGGTCTCAGCACATCAACAACTAATCCATTGTCAAGGTTAGGTTTTTACTCTCTTCTCCCTTCTTTTCTCTCTCCTTCCTTCCCTCCCTCCCTTTTTTTAATACATGCTGAAGGTGGGTTTTAAGTAGAATTTAAAAGAGAACCAGTATGGCAAATAGAAATTA